TGTGATTCATTATTACACCCCTTTAACCCCTCACTTTCGCTTTCCACCCAGTTACTCAGCAGTTAACCCTCATTCCCCCATCATATCATGGAAGAGTGCACTCCCCAAGGCACCACGGAAGAGTGCAGCCCCAAAGCCCCTCCTTCTGGAGACACAAGTGAATTCTCGACTTTCTTTCGTTCACGGTTGAAGTTTTGTCCTGATTGAATTGANTCTGCAACATCAACCTCTCGAGATCGCTCTGTTCAAATGACCTCAATGTGATAATAGTGGAACTTTGCAGAGAGAGTTTCTCGGTGTACTAGGGAGATCGAGCTGCCGAGAAGCGCCCTGTCGCAATCCAAACAATCCCGCGCCGTCCTCGTCGTCGTCATCTCCGCCCATTCTTCGGAGATATTGGATAAATAGTCAGCGATCAGCCTAGCTTCGCGAAAGCCGTTTTACAGTTTTGTCTAATGGAGCAACAACTTTACCATCGCCCTAGACCGGGCGGTATGGCCGGTAAGTTCATACATGTTTTGGAGTCTTTCAACTTTGATTCTCTTACACTTTTTGTTGCCATCATGAAGCATGACGCCATAAAAGGCAAGTGAGATCGGGAAACTTTGTCCCGCCCGACAAGCTCCGTCTTCGAAGCTGTCAATTGTGGTGGCATTTTTGAAGGACGCTCCGTCATCGCGTTTTTGTATGGGTGATCTTTCTTCACAAGTAACAATTGGACTGTGGCATTTGGCCTGGTGTGATTCATTATTACACCCCTTTAACCCCTCACTTTCTCTTTCCACCCAGTTACTCAGTTAACCCTCATTCCCCCATCATACCATGGAAGAGTTCAGTCCACAAGGCACCACGGAAGAATGCAGTCCTAAAGCCCCTCCTTCTGGAGACACAAGTGAATTCTCAGGCTCTCTTTCCTCTACGGTTGAAGTTTCTTCCTGATTGAATTCCGCCTTTTCTGACTCTGATCGACTATTGTTCAGGAAAAATCCTCGACAAACAAGCCAACAAGTTCAACAATGAAGAGGCAGAAAATCTGATGGAATGGATGAAGGTATGTATTTCATCAAAGTTCCTCTTCCACTTTCGATTTTATGGACTCATTCTTCAAATCTTCTCAAGCTGAGTAGCTGATTTGCGCAAATTTCCGGAGAAGAAAATAAAAATGAAATTTTGCCACCGGCAAATCGTTGTTTAACTGTTCAATGTGAACGAGATTTCCATCACAAAATATTTGTGGCCATAAAAATGTATAGGACAGCACTGGTGGCACGGCTTCTCATCGCGGACCACTTCGAATCGGAATCTGCCCAGAACTTCCCCGACAGATCTGTCCGAGAAAGAAGTGAACCACGGTTTGCCAACCTTCCAACACGGTCTCGAAGTTTTGGTATGGCTTGAGTATTCGTGTGGCTCATATTATTAGAGAATTTGGCCACCGATGTCTTCCCATGCTTCATACTGAAGGGAATGTCGGGAGAAAAGCGAAATCAATATCGTCGAAACGAGATTCATCGACTTCGTGGGAGCACATCCATGTCACAAATCTCAAGGTGAAGAAGGATGGTAGGCGGAGGTGGGGTTAGGAATCGAAAACCAGTCAATCAAGAGCAAACACACCACCATCGCAGCAGTCCGTGATGTGAAGCTTGAGCTCTACCAGTTGATGCAACTACAAATTACGCTCCCATAAGCACGAGTTTTGTGTGAATCGTTCCATTTTTGGTTTTCATGACCAAAAGTCCCTTAAGGATCCTAAAGATTGGTATCAAAGTTGGGAAGCTTGAAATAGGCTCGGTAGCAAAGCCAGTCCCTACTACTGGGCTCACCGCAACATTTACATAGTCATATAGAGATGCATCACATCACTATTACCCTTTCGTTCCGGGAACCATCGAAAATCCCTTGTTTGAGTGGGAGTAAAAAGGCAATCACAATTTTACCGGTGAGAGATAAATGGTCATATCGTTCATGGACATTGGATCTATGGGTGGACTAACCAGCTGTTTTTGGTCATGAAAGGATACATTCTTGAGGTGTTGATCAATCCCATCTGAAGGATTCGTCCACGTATTCGACATCAGTCAGAATCGTAGTGGTGTACTGAATGCGTATGACCCATACAATGACTTGCGATTGCCAGCCGATGTTCAAGTCAGTGCTTTTATCCTCCCAAACGAGTCTGGTACCAGCTAACGACTCGGGAGGGATGGAAGGCTTGGTTGGCGTAGGTGGGTATCGATTCGGGATTCGAACCGTCGCCACTATATCACCTCCGCCCTGTTTATCCTTCAGTAATGATAGAGTCGAAGGAAGTCAGAAATTCGCCGGCTGATCTCTTCACCAGGGAACTGTTCTTCATTAACAGCTGGTACTGCCCATTAACACGCCATCCATTACTGCGAAATAAAAAGAAACCAGTAGATCATTAAATCTTTCTGTTGTGTAGCATATGGTGCTGGAAATCTCCATCGAATTGCAGTGATGTGAAGGCAAGCCAGGTCATTTCAGTAGTGTAAAATTGATAGTACGAAATCCTCGATCTTAGAATTGGGTGGACTTCGGAACAAATGATCCAAATAAATTCCAATTCCGGGAATCTTCAGGCTACTTAGAGATCTCGTCACAGTATGTCTGCATCAATGACCAAAAGTTCCTTTCCTTCGAAGAATTCGGAGTCCTGATAGTTACCCCACATAAACTTCTTTTTTGTTTCTCTTTCACAAAACCAAAAAATAATGGAAATGGCTTTTGAAATAGTTTACCCATCAGTTTCTTCGACTTATCCAAGACTGCAAAGATCAGTCGATAATGAAGAGGACGCTCGGACTCTTTCAGACAAAAGAAGTGCTCTGAATGTATTCGATACGAAAACTCGAGTGGCTAAGGCAATCTGGGACGTCATAGGCTCTGTCCCTTCCCTAATACCCTTGCCCACTTAAGCAGAGCTAAACCTTAATGAAAAATTTTATCAAAATAATTAGTTTTCGGCCAGAATTCGTAACAACATCAGAATATTTATAGAGTCTCTTAGTCTTTTGGCAATAATCGCATCCCGTCTGAGGGGTACGCCCCGCTTCGGCTTCCATTCAAAATGAAGTGGCGTATTGAACGAGTATGTAGCCTATACAATGACTTGAGGTGGCCAGCCGACGTACAAGTCAGTGCTTTTATCCTCCCAAGCGAGTCTGGTACCAATTAACCGACCCCGAAGGGGTGGACGGTTTGGTTGGCCTAGGTGGAAATCGATCAGGTGCTCGAACCCGCGACCGTGCATGTGGCATAGTGCGCCACTTACCACAGCACCACCTCCGCCCCGGAATATTAATAAAAGAATAAAATATCTGACGACTTTAATAGCAATATTTCCATATAATAATTCATGAAGTTGAGTTTTAGGGCCTAATTGGTGAAGATTTCGACACGTCGGGGAGCAGCCACAATTTCCGTGAGCAATTACGCGATGGGCAGAAACTTTGCAAGTGAGTCATTCCTACTGTTCTCTTCAATACATTCGATATGATTAATGTAACCATGCCGTCACCTCCATTCTAAAGAGGGCAGCTGTGACAGGCAGCCGGGGCCGGGAATGGTAAGGTCTTCCTCTGTTCATCTGTTAGACAGAGGGGTGGGAGTTATTGGAGTTGTTCATCGATATTCCNGCAGCTGTGACAGGCAGCCGGGGCCGGGAATGGTAAGGTCTTCCTCTGTTCATCTGTTAGACAGAGGGGGGGGGGCCGTTTTCGGAGTTATTCATCGATATTCCGCCGAAAATCGATTTTTACGTTGCGGCTACTCACTAAGCACCGCAGCCAATACGATGGTTTTTCCGTAGAGCCATTACAACTCACAAACCATATGGTCAGTGAAGATTTCGTCGCCACAGCTATACGGATTCTCCTAATGACTTTACTTCTCTGACTTTTGTTTTGGGGCAAACAAAGAAACTAATTTGGAGGGTACTGTAGAAGATACTATAAGAGGTATACGACAGAGTAGTGCTAACATTCGACTGTAGATTTTGACACCACTATATTCGGACTACGTTCCGCCACTTTCGCCTTCTTCTAGGTCTGGAAGCCATTTAAGGAGGAGCCCTCCGATCATGCAATATTTCAACCTACAGAGGAAGTTCGAAGGGGCATAAACTACTATTACGAAGTCAGTACTTGATAGCCAACCAACATTTGGGACAGCCAACTTTAGGGCAGTCGATTGTGCGGTCCACCGATCACCTCTACATTTATGAAAAATGAAGTAGTTCAAATCACGGCTCTACAGCTAGGAAACGAAGTCATAACTAGTTCATGACTGAGTTAGTCAATTAGTCTTGGAACTAGTTGTAATTGTAGTGATTGGCATTTGGTACAAGATGGAGTTGTCACTGGCGATCCAAGACAGATTCCTTCAACGCCAGGAGACAACATTTCTGAGGAAAATTTTACGTACCAACACTCTAGTAACATGCCTGCATGAATTCTGATGGCTGATGACCTTCAGATGCGTTCAAAACATCATAGAATAGCTCTTTCTACCACTAAGCTTTTCTGAGAATTCGATCATTTCATAGAAATAGCAGATAGGTTACTTTTCTTCCACGCCAAAGTTCTATCCGTAGGCCTGCATGTCACTCTTGCCATCTTTCTTACACATCCTTCCTCTCGCGGAATTTTTCTTCTCTTTCGCCTTTTACAACCTCCCGGTACAGGAAATACTCACGAATGCAATGTCACCTTAGTAATACGAAGTTTTTTGGTTTCATCTCGAACATTCGGTTGAAATTTAAACAATTTTATTAGCCGAACATGGATCCTGAGGAACTATGTCAGGGATTTCTCGATTCCAGGTTGGTCAACGCCATCCAAGCCGGCACAGTGAAAAAGATCATGAAACCGATATCGAACTTTAATTGCCTGGAGAACCTAAATCAATTCACAACGGCATGCAGGAACTTTGGCGTGAAAGACGAAGAGGTCAGCAGTGATTTGGATTTCGTTCGCGAACAGCAATTCTGGAATGCTTTGCATTGTTGTGGTTACTAATTCAGAAGATTTTAGACATTCCAATCCGTGGACCTCTTCGATGGACGAGACCTCTTCTCTGTATGTGTCACCTTACAGAGTCTCGCTCGCAAGGTTTGTCTTCTTTTTTCGAATCAATTTCCCACGACTGCAGTGCATAGGATTACCCAACACGGCTTCTGAGGTAGTTTTGGTTGATGAATGTGCAAAAAAAGTAGCCCCACAAGGATCGCAGCGCATAGCGGAAAGACTTGTTCTGGGTGCGGTGCAATTGAATCGAATTGTCGCTTCGCGGCGAGAGCGACGTCGCGCACGAAAGAATGTAGCAGAATGGAGCAGAGGCAGCGCAGCGAGTAAATCACTCTGTAACAAAGGGAGTAGCAGTGAAATTATGCCGAAAATAATTGTCGCATGTGGATCGAGCTGTATGAAGAACGTTAGAACTGCTGTAGCGAGTCAACTAGTCCGCGACAGCCGCATGCGGCGAATCGATTACTCAACCGATCCAACTTCCCGTCTCTCGCCGATTTTGGCCTTAATTAATAGATGAGAAGGACTACGCCCTTTTCGGCCTGAAGCAATAAAGATAGAAAACTTGAAGCGCTGGGATTATCCATAAAGAATAAATTAATAAAGAAGAAGGTTATAAGCATATGTAGACATCGCTATCGAGGAAAATTAGTGAAGAATCTAACCTCAGCCACAATCGAAGGGACCGCTCATCAGAAGCAACTCGGAATATTTTTTCGAAATCAGGGGCGTAACTACTCTACCTTCTTACTGGGCATGAAACTTGCAAAAAGTTCCCTTCGTTTAACTCAAAAATGTTTGGCTTAGTACATATTCGAGCTGATTCTCATCAAAGCTATGTTTCAGGTGGAAAAGACGCACAACGTCACTCCACCAAAACAGGTCGCCAAGGAATCTATCATGAACGCCTGAAAAAGTTCACGTCCACTCTGCTATGCAACACCAAAATGAAGAACTTCTTTGAATCTGCCGTGCGAAGATGATATTTTTACAATGAAATCTTGTAAACGCTAGAAGACCATTGGTGATCGTTTTGGAAATTGGGGTATTTAATGAATTTTACCTAATAATTATTCATTGAATATGTTACTGACTATAAAATAATTCACTGTTGATTTACAAAAAACAAATGTAATATTTACATAACTGAAACCATAGAGGACCTGTGAACAAAGACAACAACATGGCAATACTGCAGCTATGACAAAATTAACACTCAAATATGCTTCATATATACTCTCTGTGGTGTTAAAGTTGAAAACAGCAGAAACCTCTCGTAGTTAGAAAATAGCGCCATTGGCCAGCTGCCAAAGTTGGAAAATCTCGTTAATATAATTATTACAGTAATAATCTCGTACATGGTCGCTGACTAGTGATAGCGAAGATAAGAATAGTTTTCTTTGAAGGATAAATATCACAGCAATGACTCCAAAAGGGCAAGTATGAGCAAGGAAACCACCTCATCGAACAATCCGTGTCTGACTGAAGGGATAGCGAAGATGGCACATAAAGGGACAGACTCTGAGCATATGGAATCTATGTGAAGGAAAGCAACAGCTGGGAGTAATTAACGGGCATGGGCCTTAAATGTAAAATACAAAACTGAATTCAAAGGCAATCGTCATGCTGGGCGTGTGAGCGGATCTGCCTGGTACTTATTGAGCTTCCAACTGTTGCGCTTGCTAGCCTGAGACGATGGGCCAAAGTACGCGTCAGTGAAAGCTATGGCGAATCGCAGGCGGTTGTACCAGATCAGTTTCGCTGACCGCCTCGGGAAGACTTTGATGCCTTCATAATTTCAGGAGTGAACTGAGATCTCAGCGAAAGTGTCATCATTCAAAGAATCAAATGTACTGAGGGGTGTCCTGGCCGGTGAGTAGACGGAACATACTCGTTGGCATGGTCTTCATGTGGATTTCGCCAATAGCCGTCGCCAACATATTCACAATGCGATCATGAGCCACCGCAACTACCGATTGGTTGTTGATTTCAATAATTCGATGACCCACGCGAATTCCCCCTCGCTCAGCTATTCCACCTAAATGGTGTAATCCTCAAGAACAGAAAAAAAAACTGGAAGAAGAGTTGAAAAATAAAAGAAAATAGATGAATAGAAAAGGATAGTCGCCCACCTCGCAGTAAAGAACAAATGACACCATTCTGTACTGAGAATCCAAGTTGATACTTGGTATCAGGTCGCCGTATTCTCACCTCAACAACGGGGGGAGTGGACACAACTGTCAAACGTACCGCTGTGCAGGTTCTAAATTTGTGCATTTAGCTCTGAACCAGTTCAACTTGAACCTAGACATAATCAACTCACTTTACATTCTTGATATTCGTCTGGGCAGCTGATAGAGGAAGACCCACTAAGGAAATGCCATTAATGTTGATAATTTGATCACCAATATTCAACTGATTGGAACGTGCTGCTGGTCCAGCTGGATTCATGTGTGCAAGCACCACAGTCGGTAGCATCGAACCCCAGCCGGATTCCACCTGTAAACATTAAGCTCTCAGGAAAAGACAACTACTCTCGTACTCGTAACCTAACTACAGATACCAGTAAATTAACATACCACGACGATTCCAAGAGGTTCCCCACTCTTTTTTGGTACAACTACATCCTTTTGAGTTTCCTTTCGAGCAAACATTTCCAGCTCATCACCCAGAAGTTCTTGAGAATTCAGTACTTCCTAGAGCACAAAGTAATATGCAATACTATATCAAATCGAATAACTTGGACAGCTGGAGGAATGGATTGAATTTTACCTGATAGTCGATTTGTCTGAGATACGATGGATCGTCAATACCGTTCGCTCGTAAAAACTCAACATAAGCAACCTGAATATTCTGCCGTAATGTGATAAAATGAAACAGAACTTCCGCTAAAAACCCACCTGGAAAGCTTGACCAATAGACTGAGCAATGAAAGACGCCTCATCAGATTCGAAAACATGGCAAATAACTTTTGGTGTCTTCTTGATTCCATCCACTCTGAATCAAGAAAATCGAGGATACCCGCCAGCACAAAATTTATAATATTAAAGCAACAAAAAAGTTATGCTTTCAAAGAAAAATGAATTTGACTTTGACTTTGCATGGATATTCCCCCGCATACTTCCGGAAATATTTTAAGTTCACACAAACCTAAGTCGCGATGAAATGTAAGGGGTACTTTATACTTTGATATAAAGCAGCGCCGGGCTACAACATGCCTGCAATGCTGGAGAGAGCTATCTTTAAGTTCAATGGAAATCCGGGCGTATGTAAGGAGTCAAGCAATTATTCAAAAGGATACCTATTCCAGAAAAACTAACCAGACAGTCCCCTACCTCATTTGCTTAATGGACCATCAAGCCGTTAAAATAAAAACATAAAATGTTTGGCAATTACCTAAGAGAGGTAAAAATTGAAAATCAAACCACTAACTGGTTGCACTGTTCGTCGCTGCTGCTCGCTGACATCCTCCGGGCCATCAGTACTACTAGATCCCCAATGTCGGCGATGTAGGAGATAGTTCGCAATGCGTGATCCATTAAAATGTCCTACAATGAATAGAACTTTAGCCCAAGGTTACCAACAGCCAGATCAATGGGTCTCGGTCAAAAATAGCCATGATTGTGCTTGGCGCTATTTATCGCATAGACCTTGTTCTGCAGCTCGATTATGAAGGGTCAAAATAAAAACTGTGGTTTTCTAAATCTTCTACATTCCTTTACGGCAATCCTAAACAAGCAACAATGCAAGAACAGACTTCTCAGCTGTAAAAACGAGCTCAAGACTGTTCAGTTCATGCTTAGCCATTTATTTTAAACGTTAACAGGAAATTTGTACTCATGACGAGCAGGGCATACACTCGCGTGTATCTTAAACTGAACGGTTCTGCAGAGTTGTGAGCTTACGAAGGATATTCCAAAGAGGCCAAGCCGTTAAGCAGGTACAACAGATGGAGTATTGTAAGCAAACTTGATTCTAACCTTGTCAACCATCAAATCTCCCAAATCGCTGAGCGATCTATGAATAAAATAACGTAATCAAGTGCTCTGACCGAAGCATACTCCTTCTCTATAGTATATTTCGGATCCGCCGCCAACAGTTTTAATTTCTACGTTAGTTCACTTATCTCGGTGAATCACTCATATTCAAGAGCTGGAAAGTGGCACGACAGGATTTTGTAAAGAGTATTGGACCATTTTGGATTACACTATAATCCGAATTATTGTCTTAGACCAGTTCCTGCTGGGACACTTCTCCAGGAGTTGCTGTCAGGGCTTTCCAAAGTTTCCGGGCCAACTCCGATCTCGTGAACCGCTTCATGATCACTTCAACTTCACGTCCTTTCCTTACTAGATTCGTTCATTACCTATTTAAGAAATCATAAAAATGTAACTTGAAGAGACGCTTTTTAGAAAGGTTCACTGCGTGTGAGGCTGCAAAGGGCAAAGATACGTGAGTGCAAGTGTGCAGTGCAATGCAAACCAGAGTCTTAGAAACAAAAATGTAAATAGTAGAAAGCAATAAAAAGCAGTGAGATAGTATCATGTGATGGTGAAATGTAGTTGGGGGAGTGGGGGG